TGTGTGTGTGTGTGTGTGTGTGTGTGTGTGTGAGTTTGAATGTAAGTCTTGAATTCATTTGATTGTGTACTCTTCTGTTTTTTAATGCCTCTGCACCAGCAGCAGCCAGAGGCCTGAGACATGTCTTCAGGGTTGTCTGTCCATCCGTCTGTCCCATTCTCATTCACTTGATATCTTAAAAAAAGCCTTGAGGGAATTCCTTCAAATCTGGTACAAATATTCACGTGGACTCAAGGATGAACTATTTAGACTTGGTGGTCAAAGGTCCAGGTCACATGACTTTGCGTTATATTTTACAGAACTTATCAAGAATGCCCAAAGGGAATGTCATTACATGTGGGACAAACATTCACTTGAATTTCAAGGTCATGGTGGCCTCACAAAGTATGTTTATGTTTTTCCTGAACATGATATCTGAAGATCAGCTTGAGGGAATGTCTTAAATGTGATACAATTCTCTCATTTCAGTTTAATAACTGTCTCATTCATTAGAAAGATCTTTCCTGTTAGTAAACTGTCATTTCCTTTTATTTTCTGATAATATTGCAGTTGGAGAGATGTTGTCTTTACTCTCATCTTTACCTTTGTCTTTCCTCGCTCCTTTAGTGGCAGAGACTAAGATCTAATTAAAACGACACAAGTCAGGAGGGTGTGAATGCAGTTAAGGGAATTGGGATGTGTCTCTGGTTCTGGCTCTATTAACTCTGGATTCTCCTATTCAGCAGTGAGCATGTTTACACAAGAGTTTTTATTATGAGAGAAGGTGAAATCCCTGGGAAAATAATGTGAGGCTGTATAGAAATATTAATTTCCAGGGTATATAGTATGAGTGCACAAAGGAGAATAGGTAGGTACAGAAAAAGTATTAGGAATATGCAAATATTAAGGGAGCGCTCTGCCGATACTGAGATCAGTAAGTCTGTCTACAGGTCTGGGGATATGTGTAAAAACCATAGACTGTATATAAAGAGGTAAAAACGTTGTATAAAGTCTTTTGTGGATCCAGAGAGA